CTGTGTTACTTAGGGTCACAGGTGGGTGATGCTGTATAGAGCGGTAGGTCCGTAGCTTGGCTATAGGATAGTTGGTAGACCTGCGAGGGCTGTGTTACTTAGGGTCACAGGTGGGTGATGCTGTATAGAGCGGTAGGTCCGTAGCTTGGCTATAGGATAGTTGGTAGACCTGCGAGGGCTGTGTTACTTAGGGTCACAGGTGGGTGATGCTGTGTGTTGGTGCTGAGGCACATTTTATTGCGTGCCAGGTCTTGTATTACCCCACAACCTATTCACACTAAGATTATCTGCCTGGAGCAGAAGCCACCCCCCCCCCATCGGTTGAAAAGAACCGCTTTGGTTGGGAGTGTTCATTTGGTTGATAGCGATGCAACTGCTATGCTTGTGTTTCCGGGTCATTTATGAACTAGTGATGTGCAGTTAGCACCAAAGGAGCCTCCGTTGCTAAGGAAATAGCGCCCTCGCTTGGAACAGCTCGAGGCCCATTGCTCAGCTGTTACTGTATTATTGGGCTGTTTACTTTTGTAGATACACAAGGATGGAGTACGCTACCAGCCTAATTCCATCATCTTTGGCATGTTCCAAGGCTTCTACGGGGCACCAGACAACCTCCCTGTAAGTTGTTTACAAGATTTGTAACGGATATTTTTGTTCAAAGCTATGGCTACTCACTAACGGTTATCAATGTGAAAAGACAGCTGAGGCCACAAAGCATACCATTCAGACATAGCCTCTATGCATCTGGCCGGTTGATAATACACATGATTGTGTTGGAAATCACAGTTGATAATGTCTATATTTTCACAAGTGGACTCTTAACACCATGTCTATTTGTCTTTCCAGGACCCTAACAAGATCCAGAACGAGTTTCGAACTTCAATGGAAGTGGAGCAAAATGCTGCTATCCTGTCATACAAAACATTTTCCTTGGGAAGGTATGTTTCTGATCTACTGTCGCTTTTCTGATCAAATCCGATTCTTTGTTTTTCCAAAATGAACTATGCAGTGATGTTAAATCTAGACAGAATGCTCTCAAATTTGCGCACTGAATCTTTTTTTTTTAGGTTACATACAACTCAGCGAGCAATAAGACAAACTGAAGTGTCTGTGTCCAAAGTCCGAACGTCCATTGTTGAGAAGCTGACCCTAGTCAGGAAGAAGACTGATCTGGTAAGATCGAGATTGAGAAAACAGCATTTGATGGAAAAACTTGCAGATTGAAGAAAACCTCACATTTATTGGAAGAGAACTACACCCCAAAATTATTCTGCCAAATCAGTGGGGTTTGATACCGAAAGCAGTTCACTTATGGAAGAAGAATCAGGATTTGGTGTCTAAACAGCTGGGTACTCTCTGAGAAAAACGTACCGCATTTTGCTTGTTTCTGTAGCATTCAGAGAAGGAAGCATTATTGCTGCGTCTGAGCGTTCTAAAGTATGAACAGGAGCAGCAAGAGTCACTACTGGCCACTGACTGTCAGAAATGTACCAAGAGTAGAGAAAGCATCGATGGGAAAGGTTCGCTTTTTGTGGTTTAACTCTTAGAAGATTTCTGGTCATTGTAAGATTTTGAGTACAGCCTTGGGCAAAATATTTCACTTGTTACTAAGTAGCCAATTAACTTATTCACTACACATTAGGTGACATCTTACTGAGGTTCTTCTGAACTTCAAGAATTTTTACAATTTTATATAATTCCTGAGGAAAAAGCTTCAAACAGAAGTTACTGTTTTCCACTCTTCTACTTGAAAAGTAAGATTTTGTAGCCAGAAGTGAAACCCTATCTGCCAGTGATTCTCCACAGAGGAAAGATTAGCATACCTCTGCTCCTAACCTCGGCAAAGTTCAGGTTATGACTGTACCTGTAATCTATTGAATTTTGTTAACTCACATGTAATGAGTTCATGACTCTCTGTGTAGCTCAAGATCTGAGGTTGAGACGAGAGAGATTACAAAGTGAGATCGATGAGCTGAAACATCAGAATCATCTCTATCAGGAGAAAAAGTGAGTTAATCAATCAAGAATGACGATGCTGCCTTTTATTTCCGAGTGTAACTATATCAGGTTTCATTATGTTTTCTTCCACTAATCAGCCAGTACTGAAGTTAGTGTGCAGGCGCTCCCATCCCTCAATTCCAAGCAATTCACATTTGGAGATGCTCTTGAAGGAAAGTTTTTTGTGTGTTTGTACTCTGCAGGGAACAGCTTCAGAAATTAGCGGCCAAGTACACAGCAAGGAAGACTACATTGATTGGTGAGCTGTCAGACATCTATCCGGTGGTAGAGCAGGCAAACCACGAATACACAATCCTTGGCATTAAGCTTCCAAATGCTGAACGTTATTCAGGTAAAGATGTCGGGAGATTTCTGAAACCCATCAACCCTAACCATATACCCATTTGTACCGAGTGATTAGGTGTAATGATTGTACGTGGTACCCATTTAAAACTGTTTTCAATTGTGGGCACCTATCTGCAGGCACTGATGACATGGTGGTATCCACTGGCCTTGGACACACCTGTCACCTGATCTTGATGATGTCACAAATCCTCAAGTTGCCTCTCCGCTATCCCATGTTCCACTATGGCTCACGGTCGCTTGTCAGAGATCACATTACAGAATCACTGGCAGAAAAGGACAGAGAGTGAGTTTCCAAGTTTCTCTCTGCTGTTATGTCCGAGTTTGAGTTATAATCCAGTGTCTCGTGTTTTGTGACAAAAATGGGTTCGTCTGATTGTCACTACTAACAAGCATAGAACACTCGTCTGCAAGGAGCTTCGTGTGTCCCATGAGTTAACATTTTGGTTTCCTTTCTTGCATTAATTAGACATTCATGACAGGACTGAAGTATTTATATCATGAGCTTTCAAAGTATCAAGACAGAAAGAAAATGTGGAAACCTCCTTCACGTAATTGAATAAATCAGTCACAAAGAAATAAGAATTGATTTAACACAAGTCTTACATTTATTGCATTGCAACACCAACGTTTTCTACCATCACCTGTCATGTTTTCTACCATCACCTGTCATGTTTTCTACCATCACCTGTCATGTCTACTTTGTCCAATTTCCAGTTTCCCATTGTATAGTCGCGGCAAGGAGCGCTTCCAATTCAATTATGCCCTGTACCTTCTGAACCGTAACATAGCACAGCTCCGATATGCCATGGGGTTACAGACAGTTGACCTCAGAGCAACCTTGCCAAACCTCAAGACTCTGTTGGAACTCAAGTGGGGAGTTAAAAAGTGAGTATGCTGACTTTTTATGTAAGCTATCGCACTACTATCTGAAGTTTGCACCACCTTCAGTTGATATTGCTAGAATTTTTTCATTTCCTCATGAGGGATTCAGTGAGATCAAGGCTGATGAATGTTGGATGTCTTCTCCTAAAATAGATTTTTGTGTCTGTAGGAGCATTTCAATATGTGAAGAACAGATAGCAGATTCTGATTTCAACCAGTTTGAAAGAAAACACTTTGTGTTCGAAAGCTACTTGGGTAAAAATTAGACAATTGATAACAGTCATTTAATCTGGCATTCAGCATCACTTTCATCTTATTTTGACCACCAGCAACCTCATCAGTCCCGTTTACCAAGCGCCGAGAAGTCTACAACAGCCTGACCAATCAGAAGTCTCCTCTCAGCAGACCCAACACCAGCAACAGAGGGTCCCCTTCGTTCGCAGAGCCACGCTTCCACCAGGCGTCCCCCCCTACCCAGTTCAAGCACCGCCACCCTACAGCCAAGTCGACTTGTCACGCCCAACCCAGGCTGACCCTCGTCCCCCTCCCTTCCCGGCATTTGATTCCACCCAGACACCCTCTCTGAGCCCCTATGTGGAGCAAAACAGCCCCTTTGAGGATCTGACGCCTGAGGTCGAGCCTCCTCTCCCCTCAGCTCCCATATCGATCCCGAGTGTGGACAACGCTGCCAAAGACATTGAGGCCAAGCAGGCTTTGTTTGTTGAACGGGGCAACAGCGATGAAGGGACTAGACAGACAACTGCTGTGATCGAGACTGACGTTGCCGGCCTGTCCTTAGAAGACACTTTAAGTGAAGCCAGGAGAGCAGAAACGCTCAGGCCCAGCATCGAGTACCGACACAAGGACAGCAGTTGGCCACTGGAGTTTGTCGAGGCAAATGGTGATAGTGACACTCTCAAGACTGATCTGGTAGAACCCATAGCTGTTGAACAGGTTGAAATTGACGACCAGCAGGGCAACTTATCGCCAGCAGCAGTAACAGCAAATTTAGGAGCTGAAGTGCCACAGAGTCCATTACCGGAAGGGCCATTAAGGACTTTGGAACCAGAATCGCAACCTGAGGCAAGCTGTGAATCTCTAGACTTACCTGAATTTCCACCATCAGGTTACCTTGATCAGCCTGAGCAGCAGGCCAGTGCTGTTGCAGATGTAGAAGCAGAACTGGTGGCAAAGCCGTCAATAACTAGCGACGGCTGGGCTTCACAGACAAACACCAACAATCACCACAACTCTAGGTCAGAATCTTCTCAGGAAACTCTTCCTCCTGACAACACATCACATGCTATCCAGCCTCAACATCCAACAGCCCAAGAGACTTTTCTGCGATCTCCCTCGGAGCTTGCCTCCTTGCAAGAACCAAAGCTGCTAGATTCCAAGCCTCATTCCTCGAATCACCATGGCGACACATCAGTACCAAACCTTAATAAAGTTGAATCTGTTGGAGAACCAAATCTTGACTTCATGTTCCCATCAGACAAAAGTTTGTTCAGTGACGATGCATCATGTTCAACGCAATCTGATGCAATTGGCAGTCCTCCAAGAGAACGTAACAATGTGACTTATTCCATGGACACCGATGCAGGCCACCTGTTTCATGATCTTGGTAGCCGTGCAGAGGCCCTCTCTCGACAAGACAGTTTTTCCAGCTTCAAGAAAGTATCCACGAGCCCAAATAAGGGACGAAAATCAGGAAAACATGCGATGATGGAGTCGCGATAGGTTGACATTGGAGCCTACAAGCAGGCTTCGCTCAAGAATTGCCTTTTCCTGTTTAGAATGCAGGAGAAACATCCAGTGGAAACTTGCAACAAGTAGAATGGAGTTTTCAAAATGAAACAGAAAGGTTAAACCTCTCTCCAGCACAGGTAACATTTCTGCCTTGTGGAGGAAATGTATTTTTGAAAAACTGTCGGAAATCACAGCTTATTACATTCGTATAATACACCGTAGCTAAGGGGAAGATCAGAAAAGGTAAATTTTCAAAATTCTATAGAAGCATTCTCAAGATGTTACTTACACCCCTTCCAGAACACTTGCTAGGGTCAAATTAAATTGTTACCAACTTTATATTGATTTGAACATGTAGAGTGTTGCACTTTGTACTTCTAAATGTGATCATTTGTTTGAACTGTAAAACTCCAATCAACCTGTCAGGTTCATTTTCTCTACATTTTCCTTTCTTTTGTAAAAATGCAAGATTTACATTTTCCAATGATTTCTGATTGTGATACAAAATTGAAATTTGTGATGTACTCTTTATCTTTAAAAAAATTGACATCTTTGACCAATATGAAATACGTTATAGTGTGACAGAGAGGAAGAAATGTCCTTACCATACATACAAATGTTGCAGGTATGTACTGTGCATGTCACAAAACGCATTGGGTTTACTCTGAATTGTATTACCGAGCTTAGTGCAATGTGTCATTTCCAAATTGGAAAGTATTGTTATTTTATGTCACTTTATACCCTTTTAATTGATACATGAATGTGCCAATTATAGTTTTCATGGACAAGGACACCTTTGTTAGAGAATTTGCTAATGGTTAACTTCTGTCTCTAGACCGCTTAAACATTCTATAATCATACTGCTCATAGATTCTGTCCCTCATGCATGGCTTGTGTTGGAATTTAAAATGTCTCACATACTTTAAAATGTGGTTTATTTCCTGAAAATGTTGACTTTCAAATAATTTCTGGTCCTTTTAAAAGTTTCCCCGTATCAAACAGAATGTTTTTTTTTTAAATATTTTGCCTGTGCCTTCTTGGCCATAGATGTAGTCTAGATTTCTATATTAGATGACAGACCCAATCTAACCTCAGAATTCAAAATTTCAAAATGTAACCGTATGTTTACTCATTTTGTCTAAGTAACTGTTTTTAGTTTCTAAACTTGAGTGATCAACCAATAAGCTGTTTGAAAGTTGGATGAACCCACACCCCACCCCTCCAAAAATCCCACACTCAACACACTAAAACAAACTCCCAAAATGTATTTTCCTTTGCAGTGTATTGCAGTTCTGACAAATCTTGTCGCCAACATTCATACCAAAAAAAAGGAATTAACAACCCCAGATAACATATTTTCCTTTGCATGTAAGCGTTTGCTTTGGTAAATGGACTTTGTTAGAAGAATAGGTTTTCATAGGATTTGTTCCAATTAATTCTTATTTTTCTTGCAAGTGAAACACCAGTAGGCATTTAAGTTCAGTCATCTGTGGCTTTGGCAGGAACACTTCCGTTGAAAATTCTCCTGCTTTTGCGACACTCTGTTTTGAAATGCTTTGTTACTCAAGGAAGTCATATTTGTACATGTACAGCATCACTTTTTTTTACTGTACGTTTCAATTCACCTACTGGATCTGTGGAACACAAATGTTGGATACCACAGACGGAAGCATGTTATGAGCTTGGATATTGCATTCTCTCTTTGGGAATTGTAATGTAATATTACATCATTATTAAAATCAGTGTAATTCCACTCATGTTGGACAAAGCGAGGACTTCTTCTATACAGATTTTGTACTGAGTTAATCTTATAACCATTTTTATTTTCCAATATGTACAGTGCAACTTAAATGACAGTACATTTTTAAAACAAAATGTAATGTCAGACGGGAAAAGTTTACAAATAGTGAAATCAATGTTTGTCATTTCATAAAATATAGTACATTATGTGAAACAAAAATTTAAGATTTAAATTTTATTTTAAAGTCATAAATAAATGTAAGGTCAAAATATTACCAAGTTTTAAAATGGATTAATTCAAAGTGGTTTATTGGCTCCTTGTAAACTGGGTATGTCGTAACAGTCCAGTGCTTGTTGCAATGAAGGTTCATCAAAAACACAAGCATTAAGAAGTGATGTTAACTGACTTCACACAATCTATTCTCAAACTTCTGCAGAACAATCAGTTGCTGTAACCTTTCAATGCATGTGTTCTGGCCTTTCCCTTCTTTTCCTTTCAAAATTGCTGACCTGTGTGGCTATGTACTTTCACTGCACAGGTTCTTATTCTTGAACCAATACTCTTCTAGGGTCAGAACCTTTAGCTGGCCATCAAAGATCATCTTGACCTCTCCCTTCCTCCCCTTAGTGGATGAGTTCTACTTGCTTTTACTACTTCATGCATTCTACTTCATCCATCTTCCTTGTAGGTATGACTTCTCCATAATTTAACTGTGCCTTCAGAGGCAGATAACAAACAAACCTCTTTCGGGTGGAAAGATAAGGAATGTACTGTCTCTTTGCCTGCCTGCTCAATAGTAGTTACCATGGACCCCTGAAATGAAGAACAAGGAAGATGTATTATTGCCAAGGGATGGGACAGCGGTATTCTCCATCAGTTTCAGGAGCCACAAAATTAGTCTGAAAGAATACAAGCTATTGTGTAAATCCCAGACAGAATGATCTTTGGGGCACCTTTCAATGTTTGCTTCAAGATGCGGTTGCCATGACTACTATAACTTAGCAACAATGGTGATGCCTCACCTCTACCAAGTCCCAGAAGTATATCTTTCCATCCTCGGAGCCACTGACCACATGGCTGTCATCATTGTTCATACAGCTGGCCACTCTGTACTGACTGTTGCGATGACCAGCATATTCACCAAGAAGCTCCCCCGTGTCTTTGTCCAGCAGTCGGATCCTATTGTCAAGGGAAGACACCAGGGTACACTGGCCATCCTTGGTGAAGTTGACACAAGTGGCTGGATCTGCAACGGTCCAGAAAAAAAATTATTTTATTTAGAGTCTTTAATACAATGGATGCTGGCCTTGCGGTGTTCCAGGAAGAGCTAAAAGCTTCTAAAAGGAGAAGGAAGCAAACGAAATCAATCAAGTGAATGAGGTGACTCACGTCCAATGCAATCTGCATGCATTCGACCATTTCGCAGGTCGTATCTCCTGACGTACCCATCAACAGATGCAGTGAGAATCTCATAGTCAGACACGGTGATAGATGACACAGCATCTTTGGCTTCGTCCAGTATTTGGATAGGGTCCAATTTCCTAGACCGACAATCCCAAATTCGGACAGTGGCATCAATAGAACCTGTAAGTATAAGAAAATACAGTCGTGGTTGGTTGAAAACAGGCAACAATGACTGCATATTCCTTGAAAATGTTCACATACAGATTTGTTGATTGTTGTTTTTGATTGAATTAACCACCTTCATACTTTAAATCACCAAAGCCATTAAACCTTTCTTTGTCATGTTTGTAATACTGTTGTGGACGTTTTCAAAGCAATCATTTTGCTATTATGATCTGGTTTTCGTTGCCTATTTTTCGAGCATGTTGTTTTCAAAAGCTAGTCTAGATTTTCAAATTCATCACGAATTTGCCCAGCAGGGTGCGGACATGGCTCCTATCCTGAAATCTCAAATGTTGACTGATTTTTTTTCTCACCAGACAAAACTAAAGATGATTCCTCGTTAAAGCACACACAGTCCACCTTTCCCGCATGCCCTCTAAACCTTCTCATCGTCTGCCCTGAGGCCACATCCCACAAAATTACTGCCTTGTCGGCACCGCAAGACACTAGTTGTGAGTTATCAAGAGAAGCTCTAGCATCAAGCACATCATAGCCGTGTGCAGTGTAGGTTTTCAAGAGGAGGTTACGATGAGGGTTCCACAATTTCAGCGATTTGTCACTGCCACAACTGAGGCAGTAATTCCCGTCTCCATTGAAGGAGACTGACCTAACAGCACCTTGCTTACAGTCCAAGGTTTTATGAAGCTGAAGAGGAAGTTTTTCCCCCATTTTGAACCCCAAATTCCCGTCAAAAGTTGATTGTGCGTCGTTTGTAAATAGTATACGTCCAAGTTTACAGAAGCACCAGTCTGAAAAAGTATTGAAAAAACGAGCAGCGCACCACTAATTCTACTTGGGTACTAGACCTTATAAACCCGATAACTGTTTTGCATATAGAGCAAAATGAACAGTAAACTTTCGTAGGTAAGCTTAACGGGCGGTGAAGAATGTTAAATGTAACTTTTTTTTGGTGACACAGGAAACAGTTTTGGATCATTGGGATGTGAAAAATGTCTTCAACAATCAAACCGAATCATCCAAATTAATTATAATCAGAATCCAGGGGCCTGAAGTTTTTGGGTGGGCGGAGTTGTTGCATCCCCCCACGATAAGACCGTCTTGACAAAATAATATATTCCCTGTGAATCACTTTGCATTCTTTAATCATGTTATCTACTTAAGGATAACTATAATTAGGTTGTGTTTTAGTTGAAAAGTAAATTAGTAATTTAATATATATAGTTTCTTTTCCTTCGGCTTTAGAAACATACTGGTGACTATGTCGCTTATTCCGCGATTGTCATTGGTGAAAGGAAAGTCAACGTGGTCCAATCAACGACTCAATTTCTTTCCACACTTTTAAGATGGCGGCCTCCAGCGAGGTAAGGCTATCTTCATCGACACGACACGAAACATTTGTAGATTTGTAGAAGCATTTGCAGATTTTGGCTCTTGTAAATGTAGACCTTGAAAACGTTGAATGAACTTGTTATGCAGTGATTTATTGCGTGATTGTTATATTTATAGCGCGTGGAGAGCTTTCGTGCTTATTACTAAATATTAGTTGTAGGCGGCATGGATATGGACGGACGTAACTAACCCAACGTAACCCCACATGTACGTGCAATATGTTTGCGCGACGCGTGGCGTGCGTGGTGTTTCAGCCTGCTCTCATGATTTTTGTGCATGCATGGCATGACGTACGGTGCACTAGTACTGCACATGTTGAAACCTATATGCTATACAGCCTTGACTTCCCAGGCCCAGGAAGATTTTGCTCAGGGAAATGGTTTGCAGATAACTAGCATGGCATGCCTAAAACCTAAATAAGGAAAAAGAAAACAAACAAACAGAAAAAATTGGGGGATATTTTGGGACCCCCCAGTTTCTGGTCGACTGGTCATCTGGTCATTTTAATCTTGTAAACTGGTCAGTCCCAAGGCAACACTCTGTTTATTGTACTGACCCAAATTTTTGGAAATTTCAAATTATAAATTGTGAGAAAGTGTGACTCGCTTATCGATAAAACAGTCATGTATATTTTAATCCACCACGTGTCATGTTACCCCCAGAAAGAGTGTGACGTCCGCCCTGCTCCCGCGTGGGAGCGTAGTGTCTTTTCCAAAAAATTTCCCTCAAAACTCAAACTCTGCCCACTTTTCACAACATCAACCCTACAGCTATTGAGCATGATGTCATGGTCATCTACCAGCATGACCAGGGTGAATCCATAAGTTCAAATGTAGGTCTCCTTTCTGTTATAGGAAAGGGATCCCCAAATATGCAGTCCCAAAATGTGGGCCTAGGCTATCATGTTACTTGTAACCTTTTCAGTTATGTTGAAGTTTGTCTGAAAAGCATTATTTGGAGGAGGCCAGTTTTTAAACATTTTTAGCAGTTGTTCAGCATCATCATCCTCCTGTACTGTGTAGAAACCTCCACAGGAGTATACTGCACTGGCACATTGGTTAAATAAAACCCCTGGCGACAGGACTCAATCAGTGCCAGGAAATTCTACGCAGTGGTCTGAGGTTTTAGGACCTAGTGCTTTCACTTACCACTTCTTGGCTCGGGCACTTCCATTGTTAATGGTACAGAGAACAATAAGGTCATGTACTCATACAAGTTATAGCACTGTATTCTACATTTTACTACTAAGAACTATTTTGTATTGTTCAGTGAGGTTAGGGTTTAGGCACCACAGACAAGCAGGTGCAGACCAAACTTGGGGCGAATGTGTGCAAGTAGAGCTTTGTAACTTGTACACATATCAGAAGAGAACCCAGACAGGCATATGAAACAAATTGACTGGTAGGCCTTACTTTGCTTCCTTTTTGTCTGTCAGATGGCATGGCCAAGGTTCTGTTCAGTTCTGCTCCTAGTCTTGCTACAAGCTTTACGTTCCTCCTCCATCAAGTCTAAGCCAATCACCACATCCCTGCAAGCCAAGTGGCCAGCCACACCACTAGTGGCAGAGGCTAGTGAGTTCCTGGCAGACAAGGGAGTGGAGAGTTTCTGGAGTTTTGTGGACTCATTGTCGGAACTTAGAGATGGTGACGTTGGAGGTAAAAACGGAATAGATAATATGAAAATTCAGTCCGTTGGCTACTTCTCCTTATCAGAAAGGGTAGCTTTCACCTCAGAAGTGGGATGTGAAACAATTTCTTGCTTTTTGGTGTAATATTTCTGTTCTTTCTTCTCGATGTATAAGACTTCTGCTGTGAATAGTCTTTGCTATGGTAGTTAGGTAATGGCTAATTGTTCTTGTCTCCGCTTTGATTTTGATGTCCTAATAGAGTCCTGTCTTGCATACTTACAGAGACTGACGAGAGTAAATATGCATTTGTGATGAAGTTTGCTGGGCGTCTTCTCTCTGATACTGAGAGGGACCTGCTCAAATTGACACTGTCCATTCACTCCTACTCTCCGAAAATAGAAATGTTTAACCAGGTAAGATGATATTGTCAAATAGTTAAAGTAGTGCGCCATTACATACCGACATGTTAGTGTTCCTGTGGAGAGCCTTTCTTAGCTTCCCCCTAAAAAAATCAGTTATTTACAAATTGGAAGGTGTTGGTGAACCTAAGAATTGCAGATCTTGCAACTGTTGTGGCTCCAAAAACGATGTTCCAGGGATATATTGAGAGGCATTCCATAATGGAATTTACACTTTCATTGGTAACCATTGAGGCTTCAGTCGCATTTATGGTGTTTTTTTCTTTAATGCCACAGATAGCTCAAGATCTCCCACCTCCCTCTGGCTGTGATGCCTTTGTCCATGTTCATGGACAGGTCACATGTTCACTGACAGACATGGCAGAATTGATAGCTTCTGCGCCAGAAAGGTACTGGTAATTTGTCCTATTTGTTAGGAAAAAAAAATTGAATTGAATGTGTAGTTCTCACCAGTTCTTACTTTTGACATTGTCCTTGTAGTAAAGAGTCTTATCTTAGGTACATGATTGCTTGTGAATACAGTGACCTGTCTCGTCTTTGAAGCAGTGATGTTATGAACCTGGTCCATAATAATAAGAAGTGGCCAACAAAGTCGACTTCTGGGTTTTTGTCAAATTGTGCCCCTGTGGGGTGATACAGTGCCCCATTCTCTGCACTTGAAAATTGAACACCAAGCCTCGTGTGTAATGGATGAGATGTACGAATCAAAATTTATGGAACATGTTGGAAAATGTGAGGAAGAAATACATATACATGCCTGCATAGAAATTCTATGCAAGTAACAAAGCATGAAAATGGACTTTGTTCTCATTTATATTGATTTCTTGACGTTGCAGTGGTACAGAATTATTTGTGTGCAGCAGCTGTGTTTGTTTTTTGTCAGAGATACAAGTATAGATTTTTGAAAAGATGAGATTTGAAGTCCAATGGCTCCTTTGCCCGACATCTGAACATGTTGGTTGCATTTACTCCATGCCAAAGAATTTTGGCTGACTAAAAGGACTCATTCAATTCCCCTGAAGTTGCAGTGTGACACAAGCACATTGCCTCATCTTGAAATTGGAATTGTTTACAATGTTATTCCGTGTTGACGTCTTTCTTGTACTGCAGGGCTAAGCCAAACGTTTATGCAGTCGATCACCGGTATCCGCGATCCCAGAACAACTCCATAACAGTCATTCTGTACGGTCACATAGGCAACCTGAGATCACAGGTGAAACATTTCCACCAGCGACTAAAGGGACTGGCCAACAAGGGAACTGTGCAATATGTCCTGAGACACTTTGTCAAGGTGAGACCACCCTCAAAGCTTTTCCAAGTTTCTGAGAACCTTCTCTTACCCCCCCCAGGATATGAACCTCTCTAAGTCTCTGGATTAATTCAGTAGACATATGGTTACATGCTTCTCAAATCTCCGCACAGGACCAGTCTGCACAAAGAATCCGGCTTTCCGGCTATGGTGTGGAACTGGCCATCAAGAGCACCGAGTATAAGGCGGTGGACGACACAGAGGTCAAAGAAGGAGATGGTCACTCCCAGGATGAGGAAGACAATGCACCGGATGAGGTCCAAGGTTTCATCTTCTCCAAGCTCAAGTATGTTGCATCATTCAAAGTGACGAACTGAACA